CGCACCTTGTGTTACATAAATTGTACAATCATCACATCATGTGACAGTTTTGTCAACATGTACCCTCTTTCAGTGGTATATGTGCTTTCATTACAGTATCACTTGGCTACACTTCTATGTAGCTCTGTTACAATTTACAGAGGTCTATGACCATTGACCAGCATTGTTTTCCCATGTGATGTCACTAACAGAAAAGATTCGTCTTCAAGGATTATTTACTGATGAAGAGTTTCCATCGTTTTATTTGTTTATGGATCTCCATCGCGGAAACTCAAATAAGATATTTTAAAGCTAATTTTGCCTCTGACATTTCTTTAAGATTCTCGTAAAAAGTTCATGAATGTTCTTTTTTCTTTTCTCTTTACAACAGGTATGACCTTTTGCATAACTCACATCTAAAACTTGAAGGGTTACATGAACTTTTCGGGGTTGCAAAGGTAACAAACTATTAATGATCTAACCTGAGGTCAGAAAGTTTTACAAAACCCAAACATATGAAAATATTACATTGATGTGTGATACACTTTTAATGCACTGACAACTGAAAGAATCTTTTCAAGCAATACACACTGCAGGTAATGAATGTATAGCAGTGCATTAAGAGAATCTTTTATATAGTAGGTTTAGTCACCCTCAGCAGAACATATGGTCAATTTAAATAAACTGAATTATGGGTCTGCTGCTTGCCTGTCAGTTACTTGCAGATGGTGTTGTTCCTAATGAATATGGGATAAATCCACAACAAAAGCTAAAGATTGGCTCAAAGGTAACTTTTTTGTTATACCTAAATAGTAATGAAAATTGTTTATTCTTTTCACATTTTTCTTGCAGCATAATGCTTTAAGTTTCTTGCATTGGTTTAAGTATCATGCTTTAAGCCGTGATGGCAGTTGAATATGGTTCTGAAAAGAGAAAAACTCATTTAGTTGCATGTAGAAGTGGTCCAAATGATAACCAGTTTTAGTTTCTCATGACTACAAGGTCGAATAGAAGTTCATTTATGAGATACCAGTAGGAAGTATTGGTGAGGTGGACCATATAATCAAAGGAAAGTAATGGCATTTCTTTTGGACAAAGATGAAAAACTGCATTAGTGTTGTAGCTTAACAGTTTTTGGGTGGAAGCGCAAGGTGTAAGGTACCAATATGAGGAGGCATAACATGGTAGAATGGGGATGCTGATACATCACTATTCACTAAAGAAGAAACAAATTTTCTACCAATGCTTGGGAATAGTAAAGATGAGGAGAACCTGTGGACTAAACAGATATAAAATTGCGAAGTCCAAAGTGATATGAAATGCAAAACTATTTGGACTTCTGCTTCATTTTTCATGCTATTTGTGGAATCATTAATTTTTGCCTTCATAAGAATTGTTTACACCATGTTTCTTCTAAAATTGAGTTTGCTCTCTTTTTAAATGGTTCTTCAAACTCTAAGAGCAAATATTGATGATTTCAAAAATGTGGTGCAAACTCAAATTTGTATAAAAAATGAGTGCAAATTACAATTCTCTCTCTATATAAACATGGTAAAAAATAGTATGGAGAATTGGAGTTAGCGCTCCATTCTTAATATTATTAATATTAATATTTGCGCCCGGAAATGATAGTCTAGTCCCATTTTTCTTTGCAATTTGAAATTTTATAGAGAATTTCCCAAATAGTAGTGAAAATCAGGTAGTATCTCTAAATAGGAGTACAACATTTCATATTGAAATCGTACTGCAATATTATGGCACTATCAGACACTAAAAAGATTATGGTATGATTTCAATATTACAGTATAATGGCAATACTTGCTCATATTTAGGAAAAAATATAGTACTCCTATTTTTCAAACAAGCTTACACATGAACATTAGTACTTCATATGTATCTTTACCCACTATTTATTTGTCTCAGATTGCTCGCCGCTTGTTAGGGAAGCTTTTGATTGATTTGAGGAATACACGCGAAGAGGCGATTAGTGTAGCTGAGTTGAAGAGAAATGAGGACCATGATCCAGTAATTGGTAAGGAAACTGCAGATTATCATCTGAAGCCTCGTGCAAAAACTGAAGACCCAAGAAAATCAGGCTTCACCAGTGAAAAATCGATAGATCAGGATGAGGATGATGATAAAGAGACTAAGTATCGCTTGGACCCAAAGTATGGCTTTCGTATGACTTACTGTGATTTAAAATTAATAATCCAAGTATCGCTTCCACCGTATTAATTTTAATAGATTAATAATGTGTGGCTGGTCAAGAAATCTGGAATAGTTGGCTTGTTACAAGGAGAATCAACAAATACCATTGTTGCATAACATTTTTACAATAATTCTTCAGATACGCAAATGTGAGAACACCCGAGAGGCACGTAAGGACACGACTTTACTTTACATCGGTGAGTACTTTCATTAGGTGGGTATTGCCTTTTTCAGATGGAAATGTCATCTCTTAATCATTTACAAATTACAATGGCAGGAATCTCATATTCATTCCTTGATGAATGTCATCCGTTACTGCAATCTGGATGAATCTCTTCAAGGAGAGGGAAGCCTTGTTAGTGACAATGCCTTGGAGAAATTATTTGGAACAAAGGAGCTTGACTATATGAGCTACATTGTTTTAAGAATGTTTGAAAACACGGAGGTTGGCATCTCCCTAAATCATAAACAAAAAGTACAATTAGTACTAATTAAATGACTCAGTGTCGATTACTGATATCCAAAAAAAATGTCATTGTAACGCTTCCTTCAACCCTGGTTAATGAACTTTTTGATACAAAGTATCCATTTATGAAACAAAGTAAGATGGTAAGATTGGAATATTAATACATATTTTTGGCCTGATTCGAGAGGGAGCGAACAATGTGTCTTTCCTTCAGTTCGGGTGCTCTTCCCTCTTCTCCTTAATGCTTTTCGTAAATGTCTCCCCTAAAATTGTCTTTGCTTTTCTTTCAAAGAAAACATATGTGCTAGATATAATGTGTAAAGTTAATAAGTTTTCATTTTGGCGTCAGTTTGGGAATGACATTTAAGAATGAAGATAAGAAGGGGAAGAGGAAAGAGCACTCGACTGAAGAGGTGATAAAACAGGACACAGAGAGTATGACTTTATTTGCCTAATGTTAAGAGTTGAAGAATGACATGCTATCCATGTACAAGGTTCTAAGAAGTATGAAAAGAGATTTCTTGTCTGACTTTTATACGTAGTATATTGATTTATTTATTTATGTGCGCTTGCAGTTGGCACTAGAAGACCCTAAGAGGTATCGTATAGAAATGACTTTCAGCCGTGGAGCAGATATATCATCTTTGGAGGTAAGCTGCCTGCCTGACTATAGCTAAGGATACATTTGAATGTGGGTTTTAGGGGATTGCAAGGGAAGGATTCAGAGAAAGCTTATTCTATATCTTCACAAATATTGTTACAAAAAACAAATTAAGTGCGGCGGAAATTATATATGATAGCATATCCCGTCAACCTTCCAAGTTTTATCAACTCTCAGATATATATCTCCAAGATATAGACTCAATCCTCTGAAACTTTCCCTTCCAAAAACATTCGTCCAAACAGTCACTATGGATGTTGTTCTATGAGAGAAACATATGTGATGTAAATTATTGCAGGAAAACGATGTAGAGGCTGCTAGTACATGGCATCAGGAACACAAATTGCCAATAATGGGAGCTGAGAGGCTTCAAGAAATGGGGTCATATCTAACGTTGGAGAAGTTGGAGAAGATGATGCTGCCATTTGCAATGCCAGCCGAGGATTTCCCCCCACCATCAACACCACAAGGATTTTCAGGCTACTTCTTGAGAAGTGCTGCTGTGCTAGAGCGATTAGTAAATCTTTGGCCCTTTCATAAACATGGGAACAGTAAATGGTACGGAATATAAGTTTCTGGCCTGCAGCCTGCTTACCTTTGATTTCCTTTAATATCTCACATTTTACATATTAAGACACTATTATTATTATTATTGTTATTTTGTTGTTACTTCGTGTTTATCTAATGTGAGCAATGCATGTGGTTTTGGCCTGAATTTGCAGAAAACAAAGTGCAGGCTATTGTTTGAAAATAATAGGACCTGAATCTACTAACACATCAGAAGTTGTAGAAGATGATGATGCGTCCATTTGTCAACAGGAAAATTCCATTTTAATTCTCTCAGCGGTTTAGTAGACTGTTTTGTTCAACTTCAGATCCATCATTGATTCATGATTTCATGTACTTTGGAAGTTGACAAGGATGAAATAGTGTTCACCCCTGCCTTGATAAATTTGTTTGTATATGTTTCTGATCTACATATATAGAAAGGTTCCATCACAATAGAAACTTATTTTGTCTCAATTGTTTGCTGGATACGTTGCATTGTAGCCATTGTGGGGTGGCTAAAAGTCGTTAGGGCAAGATGTGCTACCAGGGCATTTTCCCTGGTTCATTTCACATCTCTCAAACGTATCTTCTTTTTTATTCCTAAGCATAAATTTCTGCCATATTTGGTGAATGCCTTCATTTTCTCAGGTTTTTTTTTTTCAAAAGTGAAGCTTTCAAGGAGGAGAGTGATTATACAAAAAATGTCCCATACCAAATCCTCCTATCCTTGCTTAAACACTTTTTGAAAATCCCCAAAAATCTTCTCATTTGTTTTAATGTAAAGAACTGTGTTGTTGAAGAGGAGTCCTTCCCTTTTTGAGAAATGTCAATAACCACATGTCAAATTGCATTTTGATCTTTTTTACGAGATATTAGTCAAGATCCAAAACCAAGCAAACAGTTGAATGCCTTATTCCCTTTGAATCCATTCCTACCAACCAAACTTCATAGTTTGAAATTAATTCTTGCCACCATATTCTTCTGCATTTAACGTTCATATTATATTTTTTTGACATACTAAACAAAAGCTTGACATACTTTACAGTTTACACTACCTGTTTTGCACTTATAGTAGCAGGAAATTGCGTTAATGAAAAAGACTGTCTAATTTATAATCATCATCATCATTACCCAGTGCCTCAAAGGACTGTATTCTATAATCCATAATAAAAAGTAAAAACTTGGTTAGTCATTTACCAGGCGCAAGGCACCAAACTTCAAAGATGAACTGATTACATTAAACATGATATAACATCTGAGGGCTGTGTTTCCCCCCTTTTATTTGATTGAAATGGGACTTAATGGCTCTCTATCTTTCGCCGCATGAGCCAGTAATTATGATAATCGAATCAAGCAGCAAATTTGGGAACTTCCCTGGGCTTGTGCTTGAGGATCTTCTCTTCAAGCTCACCTGTATTGGCTCCTACCACTTTATCCACCACCTTGCCTTGCTTTATGAACACGAACGTAGGCATAGCAGTCACCCCATACTCCTCTGCCGCCTCCTAGAAACACCCAAAAAATCTAAAAATTAGCAAAACCGATCCCAAGCAAAGAAGAAATCAACCAGATCAGATGGCTTTTACTCGAGCAACACACCTTGACCTCATCGACGTCGATCTTTATGAAATTAACGTCGGTGTACTTGCTGGCCATGGTATCGATGAAAGGGGCCATAAACTTGCAGGGACCACACCAGGACGCTGTGAAATCCACCACCATCTATGCATATATAAAAGTAAGGTTAATTAGCAGTTCAACTATGGAGATCGTATATTCGGGACCACTGTTGACTGGTATGTGTGTAGATAGATGAAGAAATCCGGATCGGAATGTCCAATCAATGTTCGAGGTTAGAATTTGGATCTATTTACAGGGATGGATGAGAAGAAATACCAATTTATTGAGTTTTTTGGCGGCGTTGAAGTGTTGCTTCCACGCGTCCGATGATTTAAAAACAATCACTCTCGAAGGTGATGATGACTCGGTGGTGGGTGCCTCCGCCGCCTCCGCCTCACCCGTCAAAGCCGATAATAAACCTCCCATCGCCTTGCTCTCTCTCTCTCTCTCCCTGTATCAGCCCTTCACGACAGTTTAATAGCGTAGAGTTTTAACAAGCAGTTCTGTTCTATATCAAAATAGCATCTTCTGGGATGGAATTGATTCCTTGAATAGTGAGGTATAATATGATCGATCTAATCACAAATAATTTGGTTTGCTCCGTTTAAATTTGATTTGATCTAATTGCGTAAATATATGATTTATGTGTATTTTATAACTGTTATATTTGGTCTACATATATTTTATAATTGTTGATGTGTGATTGGATATAATCTATTTAAGTCTGGTTTGATCTGTTCTGTTTATATTCAGAACTAAAATCGGTCCAAATAAAAAGATCCTAATTTTGATGACCATAATTGTATAAAACTTTGCTTTATAGTGACCAGGAAATTTTGAAGAACAGGGGAGTCATATGGGTATTGTGACACCATCATCATATCTTTAACGAGGACCTTCACTAAAATCGAATGACTCCTTTAGACAGTCATATGAGCCTCCATAAATTTACCCTTATGATGACTATAATCGAATAGTAGGTTTAGATACTATCCATGGGCCATGTCGCAAGTTATACTGTGAGATCGTTATATCATGTGTGTGGTATACCTGTTTCAAATAGTGGAAATATCCCCGTAGGTCTATATTTTATAACTATATTTCAATTTTGTCCCCTAATTATTTACTTTTCAATTATGAACTTTAACCTTTTCACCTTAAATTTATTTATTTCAAAATTAATCTGACTCTAAACTAAAACCAAACGGGAACGTCGATTTGTCGCAGCGCTTCAAATTTTCTTATTTGTCTATCTTCGGTCATCTATGGAGGAAAACCTTCTTCTTCGAGGTCGAGTTGCAGACGGCAATAACGATGGCCCCGTAGAGACGGTGGACGTACGCTACGGCTTCAAGTTCGCAGGGGACCTATGAGGCGACGACGGCTATCATCTGGAACACGGCAGACCATGGACGATCTGGAGCACGACAGGCGATCTGGAGCGGCAGCGAGATCTAAGGCGAGCGAGGTGAGTAACAACAGCAGGTGAGCTTCAGAGACATAGCTGTGGCTTGGACGGTTCGTTCATCTTCAGTCTTCACGACCTCACCGCTAGTCAAACTGAAAGATTTTAACAAAAACGTCATAGATTTGTGCGGCTGTTCCCCTCCCCCTGTGTCGGCTCCGCCCTCTTCCCCTGCGTGCTCGATTGCTTGCTGATTCGCTGCCTTGCTGCCTCATTGGTTTCCGATTTGCACGATTTGCAGGTACGTGTTTGAGATTTTGAACATTTTACTTTCACTTTAATTTTGATCTTAATTCATATAGTTAAGCTTTACTTCTTGTTTCCGATTCAGCTTTTTTATTGTAAAATTTGAATTTATGTTTGAATTAATGCATAGACGCTGTAAAATTTATCCAATCTGGAAAGGTCATCTAAAATAGCAAGGGTTTAGAACAGAGCACATATAATACATAAATGAATTCATACACACTTAAGGAATGGAACTTCGATATTATGTTGGATAAGGAAATGAGACTTTGAGTTGCTGGCTCCTCATTGACTTCCCACTTCAATATCATGCCAAGTATCACATTATGTTTAGGGAAGCAATATACTGCGGTCATCTTTGCACTATAAGGGAAAGGATTATAGGATGCAACTTCAAATGGGGAATGGTGGATTGCTGGGAGCCAGTTACATCCAGAAAGTGAGTCCTCATAAATCTTTGGGAGGTGAAGTATTCTGGTCTGGACAACATCGCAAATCAGGGATAGGCTATGCTACCCGGTACAACACTGATAAGAAGGTTGCCTCAGGACAAGTAGCTAGCACTGGACTTGTTGCATTGAATTATGTTCAAAAGTGTCTGAGAAAGTTTCTCTAGCATCAGACTTAATATACAACTACATTTCTGGAGATGTCACATCAAGTGTTGGTTATCATTATATCCTTTGGCAGTGTCGTCTAAGGTGGAAGATCGGCTCCAGCTGCTGTGTTTCTGCTTTCTTGGAAGAGCGATCGAACACGGGGCTTAATTTCATCCTTTCTGCTGCAATTGACCACAAAAAGAAAGATTACAAGTCTGGTTGTGGACTTGCAATAGGAGAATAGTGTGAGGCTTCTTTAGATGTTCCTAAGTGCGGGCTTGGAGTGAAAAGACATTGAGCATCTTCCAGTTGATTGATGATTCTTTTCTCCATTTCCATTATTAGCGGGAAGTTTTGTATTTTATTCTTTTGACTGTGTCGAGTAAGATATGTTTAGGGTCAATTCCGAGCTTCAAGTGACTGCTTATTTTGCGCTTTTGGAGATATTATTACATGGCAGTTTATAATTGTAGAACCTTCTGTTAATAAGATTGTTATTCTCGCTTTTGTTTATAATTTTGTATAAAAAGCAAAGTTTTGCTTATAATTTTGTTTATATGTTCTTCGCACTATCATTATATGGATTACAGTTTCGGTAAAAATGACACTCTTATTTCTAAACTTCACTAGTCCTTTTCATATGTTATGAAGTTTCCTCCATTGACACTCTTAATGATTGCATTCTCGTTGTAGGCACATAGTAGAAAATAGGTACATGGAGATGCAAGGGTGAGAAGATCGACAAGGAAGTGAAGACAAAATTAAAGAAGAACCAAGCCATAGATGTAATAGATAAATGAATAAATTGTAATAAGAAATTATTTTATATGTATGTTGAGATATTTTTACATGTTATTTTTGTTGCTTTTTGTTGCATCGCACATGTTGCTTTTTGTTGCATCGTATTGCTTTTTGTTGCATCATGTTTTTTTTGTTGCATGATGTTGTTTATAGTTTTTTATTATTGTTTTTTATGCGGAGTATATTGTTTTCGTTTCTCTTTGTTGCATTTTGTTGCATCACATGTGTTGCATCTTGTTGCATCGTGTTGCATTTTGTTGCAACATGTTCTTTTTGTTACACTCTGTTACTTCTTATTGTTTATTGACGATTTAGATTTTTTATGTTTATTTAAGTTTCTGTTTATCTTTTCTACTTCCTTATAACAAAAATATCCATTTAATTTTATAGGCAAACACCTAAAATTATAAATTACGGAGTATGATTTATGAATATAAACAACAAGAAACATAAAGAAACAATAAGAAACAAAAAATTCAATTATAAACAAAAAGAAACAAAAGGAAACAAAAACTAACAATAAAACGAAAATTATAATTGTTTATAAATTTTTATAATTTTTTTGTTCTTTAACAAATTTCATAATTTTTTTTAAAAATATTATTTGTTAATATGTTTCAAGTTCATTATTTTAGCTTTTGACATTTTTATTTTATGAGTTTTTAAATTTTACTCTCTAGGTTCATTAGGTTTATGTTTTTTTTTGAATATTTTATTTTTTTCCCTTTTTGGAATTTTTTTCATTATTTATAAAATAAAATTATGTTGATTTTCTGAATATTTTAATTTATAAAATTAACTTTATTTTTAGAATATTTTGAAATTTTGTATATTTATTTTATTTGTATTTGTCTAATATGTATATTTGTAATGTTTTTAATATATATTTTTTCATTATTTATAAAATTATTTTGATTTTATGAATATTTTAATTTATAAAATTAACTTTATTTTTAGAATATTTTGAAATTTTGTATATTTATTTTATTTGTATTTGTCTAATATGTATATTTGTAATTTTTTTAAAAATAACCACTTCTTCATACAAGTATGTAATTACTTTTGATATTATTTAACAGTTTCAAATTATTTTTATCTAAATCGCACATGTTATTTATAAATTTAAAGTTTATTATATTTTTTAAACTATTTTAACCTTTTATTAAACTTCTGATTTTTTTTTATATTTTTGACATTTTATATATTTTATATAAATTATATTAATGATTTAAAGTAGCATTATAAAATTCATATTTTGAAACTTTTTACAATTTTCCCACATTTTAAACTATTTTAAACTTTGTCATTGTTTACTTTTAAGTTTTCCATATGTTTTTTAATTTTCTTATTGATTTTTTAAAATTTAAATTCATTAATATAATTTTTAAATTTTATAATACAATTTTCTATCTCTTTGTAGTTTATCAATGTACGGAGTATAAATTTGCACTACTATTCTTTTATAAAAAGCATCACAAGGCCACTATTGGCCTTTTGGGATTTAACCGTACTGGAAAATGCATACGTCCACTTTAGCTTCCAGCGGGTATTTGAAGTGCATGGGTTTATTAGTGAAAGAAAAAACTTAGGGAACCTATTTTTGAAAAGGGTATTCAAAAATGAAAAAAGTGATATTATTTAAGCGTTTTGGTCTATCCGTGTAAAATACCCTTTCAAATATGGTACTGTTCATTTCTTCTTCCATGCATTATTCGTGAATTCTTTATTTTTCTTTCAATTATGTGAATTCTTCTTCTTTATTTTTCCTTTGTTCAATTCTTTTCAATTCTTCCATCAATACACTAAAAATTTAAATGCGATTTTATTTTTCTTTTTCTTAAACTAATAAAATACAAGTATACAACTGAAATTACCTTTTTCCCTTTCCCAATCCATTACAAAATTTATTATTCCACATAAAATTAGATATGCATATATTGTATATCATATTCAATAAAAAATTCAATTTTGGTTACTGAAACAATTTTAAAATAAAAAATAGAAAAAATGAAAATGAATAATCTCAACTATTATTGATCTACTTAAAATAATTCAAAGTATCAATTATCTCAAAATAAATTTATCTCTTTTATGCTTTAGTGAGTTCTTAAGATGTTGAATTTGTTTATTTTGATTTACATTTAATAACATATCAAATTACATTTTCATATGTGTGATATATGTTTCCATATGTGCCAGTTATATTTGTACACAATTCTTGGAGTAATATTTGATAATACATGAAATTACATTTACATGTGTGTGAGTTACATGTCATATTTGATAATATATTGAGTTACATTCTCATATGCATGACTTACATTTACATTTCGATTGAACTCAAGTTACATTTCAATTAACGCGATTTACATTTCAACCTGTCTCAACAAGTTACGTTTTGTACACAAGCAATTAATATAAGATACTACCTCCGTCTCATAATGGTTGTCCACTTTCAATTTGGCACAATTATTAATAAAGTGGTTGAAAAGTAAAAGTTGTGGTTGAGATTTGAGTAGAATAAAGTGAATTGATAAGAACCACATATTTCATCTAATAAAGGAAACAAGACATTCATTTTGGGACAACCCAAAAAGGAAACTAGGACAACCAAAATGGGACGGAGGGAGTATGCTTTAATGAAACTTATATATTCAAGTATTAAATAATGAATTTATGTTTGAATTGATATGCTTTATTTTTATCCCAAAAAACTTATAGGGAGTATTATAAATAGTACATGTTCAATCTTAGTTACATTCCCGTGCGCAAGCTACATTTGCCGCTAACTAAGATTACATTATGCAGTAAGGCGAACATTTTTGAGACAAACATCACAGTTTATGTTCATCCATGTGTTTTTAGTTAAACCTTGAAATTCAATGACATGGTTTAGCTCTGAGAGTGAGATGCTCACGGGATAACACCCTACCTCCGTCCTAAATTGATTGTCTGTTTTTAGTTTGACACGATTATATGTAATGTGGTTGAAAAGTAAAAGTTGTAGTTGAATTTTGAATAAAACAAGTGAAATGATTTGGATCACATATTTCTTGCAAAAAAAAGGAAACGAGACATTTATTTTGGACAAGCTAAAAATAATAATAAGACAACAAAAATGGAAAATAAAGTAATATTTTTGTCCATAGATTATATATGTTTCAATAATATTTAAGGAAAATCCTCCAGCCCCAAGTCAACCAGATTTCACTTCACCTCCAGCACTCCCAAAGAAGTACTACCAACAATTGTGGTGATTGATCATAAAAACACAAATCAGTTTTACAATGTTGAAATTGATTGAATCGACTTTATTTATTACTATTTTCAAATTATGACCTAAATGTCTGAGTTGACTTAATATGCTGAAATATGAAAAATATATGTATTACTATATATATTAACAATAAAATTAAGAAATAGTAATAAAATATTTTATAAAAGTTCACCTCGAGTAATCTAAGTGGACATGTGAGAGTGGTCCAAATGGATCACTTCTCTCAGGAGGTGAATTTGGAAAAGTATTCTCATATGTTAATCCTCTAGCCTCGAAGCTAGTTTTAGTGGTCCTGCAATTAGTATTTCATCTCACCTCAGACGACGTGTGAGTTGGATTTAGCATAAATTCAATACTAACTCCGTCTCAAAAAAACTTGTCATTTTAATACTTTGACAAATTATATCTTTATTGAAAATTATTTATAATATTAAAATGATATAAAAATGTTCTTTCCTAAATGTATTTTTTTAAGTATAAAATTTATAACTTTCACAGTATTATATTAATCAAAATCATGATCCAAATTTTATGAAATGACAATTTTTTTTTAGACGGAGGTAGTACTATTTAACCAATCTTTGGACTCAAATTTATTCCAAAGAGTCTGAGTGAATAATTGGGAACTCATTACTTCCGACACATTTAAAAGTTCTCTACAATAGATTTGGGCACACCGTTTAAGAGTGAAATAGTATGAGTAATAATTGTGTAGAAAAGGTATTAGATACGGTGGAAAGGTATAAAAGGGATGACAAAAAGTAGAAGAAGTAAGAGTATTTGAGTATTTTTAAAAGAAAAACTTATCAAAAAGAAAAAATATACTCCCTCCGTCCCGAAAAGGTTCGCCAACTTTGACTTTCACGTGGATTAATAAAGTAAAAACTGTGTGGCTGAAATTTGTGCAGAGGAGATAGAATTAACTTTAGCCACGTGTTTCTTACTTTAAATGGAAATGACATATCTTTTTGGGACATTCAAAAAAGGAAATTTGGCAAACCTTTCCGGAACGGAGGGAAAATCAAACTTTTAAATATATTCAAAAAAAAAGAAAGTTGTACAAATTTCAAAATAGGGAGGGAGTATTATTCTTATCAATGGTGTGTGATTGATTGATTGATCAAAAACTCGAATAAGCTTCATATCTCCTCCCTAGTCTCAATTAACCAACCACCCTAGCCTCGTTGAGGCAATATGTGATCGTCGTCTAAAAATCTCATGATGTTTTTACTTGGAATGTAATTTGCTGGTTTAGTCTGGTCTGGTCAGCTCTGATCTGTTTAAGTGTGGTTTGGTCTGTTTAAGTCTCGTCTGATCTGATATGCTTTGAACTGATCTGGTCTGGTAAACGTCTGGTCTATGTGTATTTTATAACTACGGAAGACAAATCTAGTATGGTCTGTTTAAATCTGATCTGGTATGGCCTGGTCTGATCTGATCTAGGACTGAAAACAGTCCAAATAAAAACATCCTCAATCTAAATACTTAAATATATACTCAGACCAATTGAATACTCATTAAATAATCTAAAAGTTACTTAATACTTTATTTAAAGCAATACAATTCATTACTTAAGCAACTTGAGTAAAAGAGGAGTAAAAAGATCGAAGAAAAAAATGATATTATTGTGATATTTTCCACTATTAACTGTATTTTACCTATTCGTATTAATATAATGTTACTCGTAATATACTATGGACTCCGTATTATACTCACAAATTTTTAAAAAATTGGGTCACATAAATCGAGATGCCCTACTCAGTGCAACCTAAAAACGGTAGAGAATATATTCATATTGTTTTTTTTTAATTTCCAAATTACTCAAGTCGAAGTCGTGGTAATAATTTACAAATTTTCACATCACACGAGCCGTATTTCAAGTTTTCAACCCCACCCGTTTCAGCTCCTGGTCTATACTACTCCGTATACATTTCTGAAATCCGTTGGCTGCTCACCGTCACCGTTGCAGCTTCTCTCGATCGAAATTCGGGTCAATGGCGAATTGGATACTGATCACAATTACTACGCCAGTTCTTTCCCTTGTGCTGTGGCTCACAATAGTCGTGCTCAATGGGCGGAGAAACAGGAAGAAAGCAATTGGATTCTTCCACCCTTATACCAATGACGGCGGAGGCGGAGAGCGAGTCCTTTGGTGTGCTGTAAAGGCCATCCAAGACGAATGCCCTGACCTCATCTGCGTTATTTACACTGGCGACCATGATGCTTCTCCCGAAAGTCTTAACGCTCGGGCCTTTGATCGATTTGGTGTCAGACTGCTTAATCATCCTCAGGTACGGAAGATTTCTAGAACCAGTTGCATGAAGTGTGAGATTTTGAGAAATAGAGTGGCCGTAGTGAGGAATGAGCTTTAATGTCATGGACTAGTTTCATTCTTGAAATGGGTTATAAACTGAAAAGTACAGCCTTTCTATCTGATGTTTTGCTCATTTTATGAAAAGTGGTAAAGAAAACCATCTTTGAAATAGCATAGCTTAGCTGAGTAGGAAAATCACTAACAAACGTGAATGTGGATTTTCTTTTGATGATAAATCCACATATAATTTACTTAGAATTACTTCACCTTTAACCAAGATTCAGGTGGGAGCCTGGATACTGAAATTCATACCGGATTAGGCCAGATAAATACTTCACTCAAACAAGTGTTTACATAACAAATCATAAACAATTTATTTGGGACCAAAAGTGAGCAAATCGGGCCTGGTAAGGTCAACCCTAGGCTCTACCCCTGCTAAGATTACCTAGAAATTGACAAGGACATGAAAATCCCTATAATGATTGATCTGCACATCAGTATTCTGTAGGACTATTCTATTATGTTTTCATGTCTTCGCTGCCTAATGGCTGGCATTAGATAGTAGTGTTCTCTCCATGATTTTTTTTAATGAATGCATGTTCCTTTCTATTATCTTATAAAATAGTTTTTTTAGTTGGTTTTAGGCTGTATTAATTTAAAGATTGATCAAACTTCGTATCATTCACATCTTGCATGTTATTCACATCTTGCAGTATTGTGTTAGGTGGTCCATCTATATAACAGAAAATGGATCGAAGAGACCATGTATCCTCGATTTACAATGATTGGTCAAAGCCTTGGATCTGTCTATCTCTCGTGGGAAGCTCTTTCCAAGTTTACCCCTTTGTACTATTTAGATACGAGTGGATATGCTTTTACTTATCCAGTTGCCAGGATGTTTGGCTGCAAAGTTATGTGCTACACTCATTACCCTACAATCAGTTTGGACATGCTGTCACGTGTTCATTCTCGGAGTTCTATGTACAATAATGATGCCTTGATTGCTAAGAGGTGCCATTTGCATATCCTAATATGTGCTTTCATAATCTTAGCCACTTTTCCACTTCATACACTTTTTTATGGGTGCACAGTGATTGTCTTTTCGGGTCTTTCAATTTTTAAGCACCTGAGTTTACTAAAGTTGAAGTATCTGAATCTCTTTTTCTATCTGACCTGACATGTTATACTAACAAATAATGATAGGGGTAAGGACACATTTATAATCAATCCCAATAGGGATTTTTCTAAGTGTATACACGGTGGGGTAGAAAAATAAAATAAACGGGGAAAGGGAATATAACTAACTTGCTGAGCTGGCTAAGGTAGTGGAGTGAAAGGAATAAATAGAAGGGAGGAAGAGAGAGATAGGCAATCTGGTAGTCTGTTAGAACTTGGAGAGCAAGGCACTCTCGAATTGACTATTCTGTTCTCTCTATTTTTCATCTTTATACGATGATCCTATAATCTGTGAGCAGGTGTTTGATTATTTGATCCTTACTATTTCTCTGTATTTTGGGACAATTGTACTCTTATCAATCAAATAAGAATGTTCTTTTCCTGCAGTGCCTTATTGTCTAGGTGCAAAGTTGTTTATTATACAATTTTTAGCTGGATGTATGGATTTGCTGGTTCCTGTTCACATCTTGCAATGGTGAACTCCTCGTGGACGCAATCTCATATTGAAAAGCTATGGGGAATAACATCTCGTACTAGGAGGGTGTACCCTCCTTGTGATACTTCAGGTCTTCAGGTTTACATGTTTGTCCTATTACTTTGCTACCTTTTTTTAATGTTTGCTTTGTTTTGCTATAACCCTTAAGCCTTCAGTAACTCTTTGTACTTTGGCTTATTGATTTTTATGCAGGTGCTCCCTCTTGAAAGGCAAATGGATTGTCCAAAGATTATATCTGTAGCTCAATTCCGTCCAGAAAAGGTGGGCATTTTTATGGAATTAGGCTATTCATACTTCACTTAAGTTGCATTTTGAGGCAATGACAGTATGAACCGCTTAAGTTATGTTTGGACATGTTTGCTATGCCCCAGGCTCACCCTCTCCAATTGGAGGCTTTTGCTCTTGCCATAAAAAAGTTGGAAGTGCACCTACCTAGACCTAAGCTCCAACTTGTGGGTAGTTGTAGAAACGAAGCAGATGAGAATAGACTTCAAAATTTAAAGGGCATGGCGAAACAACTAAATGTTGAATCTGATGTGGAGTTCCATAAGAATTTGATGTACAGGTTTGGAACACTTTTATGTATTTCTGCTAATGAATGCTATCTGATATGATACTACATACGAAAAACTATTACTCCGTATTTAATTTTTGTGGCAAAAGCATTTAAGCTTGCCAGCTAGGTGTGTAATGCTTGTTGCACAATGAATTCAACTATCTCATCAATCAAGAATTTATTTGCACATACAAGTTACATTTCATTCTAAAGTATCATGTTGGAATTTTGGATTTTAACTCACCACATGAAATAGTTGAATATCCTGTTTCTATGCTTTTAATTAGTGTTTAGGAGTTTGCTTAGTGGGGTCTAGGCTGGTCGGGTTTTCCACTAGACTGTAAGCCTAAGCACTAAGCTGATAGGGCCTTGGGCTGTAGAGAATAATAATAGTAGTAATAGATTGATATTAAATAATTGTGGTAGTCTAAAAATAAGGGTTACGGGCCGGGATAGTCATGGGTTTGGGCCAGCCCTTTAGAATAGAATTAGTATAAGAGTGGGAGGAAGGAAAAGAGGAGGTAGGCAGAAATTAGTCTGGACCTGGGAGTGCTGAGACCACTCGAAGTGTCTCAATTGTATTGTTTCGTTTCAGTTTCTTCGTTTACGTTCTTAATAGACCTCAATTTCTCTCTTTTGATTCTGGTTCCTAACATTGGTATCAGAGCAAACGACCCTGGAAAATCTGTGAATGACCTGGACTAGAGCTTGGATGGAAGACAGAGTGGAATCGATGCAACACAGAGTTGAATCAATGGAACACGGCGTTCAGGATCTGCGATCCACAATAGAGGAGATGCGGAACTGGATGTTGAACGTGGAACAGAGGATGGATGCGAAGATGGATGCGAGGATAAAAGAGCTGAGAAATTTGGTGACGAACCAGAAGCAGCACCACTCGCGAGGACAATCACAAACACCTAGGAGGAACAACGAAGAGAGTCGGAAGTCCTCAGCCGCAGGAGGAAATTTGGATCGATCTAAATCACAGGCTTCAACATCCGCCAACAGTTCACGATCAAGTATGACGCGATCGAGAGGAGAAGCTTCCCGTTCTCAGGTGTTGAAGCAAGCAGATGTTCCCAGTCCGCAGACGGTGTCGCAGAGAGCTTCTCTCAGTTCTCCTCCAAGTGAGACGAGATCGACAGGAGGTTTCAATTCGCAAGCTTCGTAGTTCACAGCTCTCCCAGCTTCGCCGCCAACAGCTCTACTTTGTGCGCTGGTTTCATCGCATCTTTCTGTTTCTCACATTCCGCAAGTTGAGTTAGAGTCTACCCGTCAGCGACAACTTCCCTCCAAAAGTACTTACATCGATGGTAATGAGGGATGCGAGGAGATCTCGTATGTGGTGAGTCAGTCCTCGATTGCCAGGGAATATAAATCTTCTGATTATAAAAGTGCTGGCTCAAATACTTCTGAGTTGGAGACCAAGGTGGTTCCTGAAATTTATATAGGTCCGGTTACATCTGCAACCCTTGTAGATAGAACTCAAGGTTCGGAGATAGGTGCAGCTAAATTTACAGATTATGCTCACCAGGACATCCTTACTGTTAATAAACAAGTAGATGAATCCCAAGATACTTCGTATACTGTTGCTATTAATGGAATTAATAGCAAAGCGAGAGATGCAGCATTCATCAGTGTCCTAGAAAATGGAATACAATCAGACATTCAACATGATGCTCCCACAATGCATTGGCCAGTTGATGATTTTGCAATATCTCATGAAGAGGGAGAATTAGGGATTGTGCTTAATCAGGAGCAAGACAATATAGTTGACACTGTTGTATGCAAAGAAAGGAGTGTTGGGGCTTTGGACATTGGTTTATTGATAGCTGGTGTTGAAGGGGGGGGGGGGGGGTGAATCGGAGGCCCGTGTGACTGCATTATTTATGGAGGTTAAGAAGTCAGGAAGGATCATTCCTCTTATGGAAGAGGTCCATACTCTAATTGGTTCTGGCCCGGATGGGAGAAGAAGCAAGGGTTTTGAACTTGGTTTTGCTAATCTGTTAAGGCCATCACTGGGGTTTTCGCCGATAAGGGTTCATGAAACGAGCCAGGGGGATGCTATCCAGATACTGCCAGGGCTGATTGAGAAAGATGAGAATCATAAGTGTAAATATACTTATGAGGCCATAACAACTGCTGTGCAACTTTCAGCTAGATATAGTCCTAAAAGATATCTTCCAGAATCCAGACACAGCCATTGATCTTATTGATGAGGCTGGGTTAAAGAAGTCTATTTTGAAGCCTGGTTCGAAAGTTGACCAGTTTTTGGTTCTGGATGTGGAAGGCTGCAATTGGGTACTTTCAGCCATTCGGGACTCCACTGGTTCTGGACTGAGATGGACTGATGAGTTTGCTCTTGGTAACACTGTTGAAGGAAATGTTCATAAAGCCTTTGGCTGCAATTGAGTTTGCCCTGAATGAAGCTCGTTTTGTGGCTGCAAGAGCCTTTGGCTCTCTTATAAGGGAAAGAAAAGAAGAAAACTTACCAGACTGGAGACCTTGGCGGTTAGAGGATCTGAAATCGCATGGCAGCACTGTTGTGCACAACTTATGTTGGCTGTTGAAGTTTTATAAGACAAATCTTGCTATTACAAATGATTCTATAATCGATACTAACTGCCGTACAGAGTGGATGGTGAATAGAGAAGTTTGCATAGGGCTAGTTGCAGACAATGAGTTGAGTAACTTGAGCAACATCAAATATGCTTCCAGCACATTGATAGCCGCAGAAGTGAGGATCCGTGAAGAGTCTCATGAAAACAAGGAAACATTTGTAGCTAGTGAGTGCTTGAAGGCTACTGCAACAAATGAAACTGCACTCGACATATCTTCTGCAGCAGCAACAATTGTTATTTTGAAGGAACAAGTACCGAAGCTTGTGGTTCAGCAAGCAGTGAGGTACTGGGAAGGAAGAGGCTCGAGGATGAAGACGAAGTTGAAGATCATGGCTTTGTCCCATCACCCACCTTGAGGACAAGGTGGTTGTCCAAGGGGGGAGAGATGATAGGGCCCTGGGATGTAGAGAATAATAATAGTAGTAATAGATTGATATTAAATAATTGTGGTAGTCTAAAAATAAGGGTTACGGGCCGGGATAGTCATGGGTTTGGGCCAGCCCTTTAGAATAGAATTAGTATAAGAGTGGGAGGAAGGAAAAGAGGAGGTAGGCAGAAATTAGTCTGGACCTGGGAGTGCTGAGACCACTTGAAGTGTCTCAATTGTATTGTTTCGTTTCAGTTTCTCCGTTTACGTTCTTAATAGACCTCAATTTCTCTTTCAATTCTGGTTCCTAACATAAGCACAATCCATTTCTTAAATAAAAAAGGATCAAGACTTATCAAGTGTGTCTGAAGTTTCTTACATAAAAAGCACTTCATCTAAATTGCCTAAAAGATTGGTGCAGTCTGAAATTTTCAGATCTTGTCTTGCGTGTTGATGAATTGTTATTGTTAGGATCAATGCCCGAGGGAGTTAAGCCCCATTCTAAGCCCAAATGTTATTTCCCGAACCCTTGCACTCTACTATAAATACACCATGTCTTGTAAGGAAAAAAGAATCCCTCTCACTCACCATCTTCTTTTTTCTTGAGCTCTTAGTTCTACTATCATTGGACACTAGTTTTGTACATGCAACCAAAACACGTCACTATAGAACCTTTCTCTTTCAGATTGGCTTAATCCAAAAAGGGCCTGAATTTTTTCCTTTTGGGTTTCAATGTAAATCGTACGTTCTTTACAGTTATGCTTTACTTTACATATGTTCATCCTTGTTCTTGAGTTCTTGGGCCCAAGAATTGGTGTTTGGTTTGTAGGACCCTTGATAACTATTAGGTTTTATAATAAACTACGTTTAGTTATCTCCATAAAATAAACTTTATCATCCAAAATTTAAGATAAGAGAATACATTTTAAACCAACTATTGAAAAAATAGAGTTTCAAAAGGTTCAGCAGAAAATATTGATAAAAAGATCTATATTCCAAGTCTTATGCTCTTTGTAAAGCATGTATTTTATTAGATGTGAAGATTTCACAGAATTTAGATGTATATGTTCATCTATTGCTTGCTTTCATCATCGCTGCTCGGCTATAGTGTTTAAGATCTCTGCCGTTCTTCTTTTTGCCTATAACTTCTTTTTACTTGATAATTTGCATTTTCTCTCTCCTTTAAAATACAATTTTTAGCTGACGTTCTTGAGTAACATGGTGTCAGTCATTAATTTTTTTTCCCTGGTGCTGCTGCAGTGATCTTGTGAGACTTTTAGGTGGTGCTGTTGCCGGTATACATTCCATGATAGATGAGCACTTTGGCATATGCATTGTGGAGTACATGGCTGCAGGAGCCATACCAATTGGTTGGTTCTTATTATCTCCTTGTTGTTCAAGTATTTCTTTATTCGAGCTGCATATGAAACCAACTTTACTATTTTCATATCCATCCCAGCTCATAATTCTGCTGGCCCGAAGATGGACATTGTTTTGCCTCAAGATGGAAAGCAGACTGGATTCCTGGCGCAAGATGTTGAAGAATATGCTGATGCCATCATTGAAATCATTAAGATGTCTAGTGCCCAAAGGTTGGAGATGGCAACAGCTGCAAGGAGACGAGCTTCTTTGTTCTCAGAGGAAAGATTTTATGTCGATTTTAAAGCTGCGGTTCGACCAATCTTGTCCCACAGGTCCCATTGATCTTACAATTGTTCCTAAATAGGAATTGGATGCTAACAAGCCTGCCCACACGCTCACACACACGTTCATATAAAATGAAACATGCTAAAGAATTGTGGTGCTCTTATATCATATGGGCCATATAATCTCTTTTAGGTCAAATCTTCCTGCTTTTTGACACATACTTGTTTTTTTACCGATACAGCATGTGGTCTTAGCCGCGTAATGTTTTTTTGTTAACTAAGAACATTTTTACTTTAGCAGTCAGTTTTTCTTCAATCGATTGAATGTCGGTTCGTTAGGTCATTTTATTTCATTTTCAATGCTGAAAGTTGTTTGTTCACCAAGTGCATAATTCGACATTTTATTTCTTGTTCGATTAATAAATATATTAGTGTTCCCAAATTGCCTTCTCGTACCCCTTTTGTTGCAATATCACCTTCTCATTTTTTCAAATCAAAGAACTGTTTGGTTTCATTCTGTTTCCTTTCGAAATAAAAATTTCCAGTTTTCCATACAATCTTCTAATTTTGGGACAAGGGTAATATTAGGCATGTACAGGTCGGCATTCAAGTTCCGGTTTTAGAATAAAAGATTATCAGTTCTATAATATATGGATCTTATTTAGAACAGCATAAGTTTGTTTTGTTTATGTAGATGGTTCCAACTTCCAAACACTTGTTTTTTTAGAATTTCGAGTTAGCCCCAATCTCCAACAGTGTAGAATAACTGTATAAGTAGTTGGGTCAATTGTTGTACTGGAAACCTTACAAAAAGAACTAAAATAAAATGATGAAATTTTCATTCGGCCATAACTTAGAACTTTAACCAGAATCTCTTGATGCCAGTTCGTTTCCGGCTCAAGACTCCAGAACTTCTACACCTGTTATAATATGTTAAAAATAATGTTAATCTCCTTGATTAAGATGAATCTCGAAGCATGTGATCTTCACTTTGAGAATTGTTTGAACAACAGATGATATTTATTGAATGATGATAGTAGTCAGCGTATGTTATAAACAGTAGTAGCAACAATGGAGTGACATGGTCCAGAAAATTCAGTTGGAGCTTGTGACCGCCCATAGTTCGCCTAAGCATGTTACCCGGTTCCAATTTACCCATTTGGAGACCGAACTGGGCATAAGTCTGCCTAAGCATAGTTTGACAATTTTTATTTTTGGCTTGAGAACAGGACCAGGACCAGACTGCTCGGGTACTCGAAATTGGCCCAGACCCGGATTTAATCGGATCATACCCGGGTTTGTCCTACCAACAATCGGGAGCAGCTGGTACGGGATCAGAACCGGACTTTGATGGGGTCCAACCCTAGTGGTCACCGGTCAACAACGTTGTTGATATTAGTGGTTGCTAAAATGATCTAGTTAGTTATAGGAAAAATTGATAGTAATAATCCCAACTATTGATGGTCCGCCCATAATAATCCCAACTATCGATTATTTCAGAATAATCCCAACTTTAGGGACCTTCCGCCAATAATGGTCCCTATAAATAAATTCTCGTAGTTTCTAAAGTGGATGAGAAGATATATAACAAGTAATTCCTATAAATAATCCCAACTTTTAATTTTACGCTTAATTTCTATTTAAAATTCACTTTTTATAGGAGGTAATATATGGTCATGGACCATTATTGGCGGATGGTCCATATAGTTGGGATTATACAAAAATAATCAATAGTTGGGATTATTATTAGCGGACCAGCAATAGTTGGGATTATTATTTTCAATTTTCCCTTAGTTATAAGAATGGGGTGGTTGCTAAAATGATCTAGTTAGTTACTTAGTTATAAGAATGGGGCTGACGATTACATCGAGTTTAATGCATCAAACTTTCTCATGATATATAAATTTGACCCATTAATCCCTTGTGATTAAAAAAATTCATCAAACTCCCTTGTGTTATACTCCACTTATCTTAATAATATTATTGTATATCTAAATTATACAAAAATATTAATCAGTTTTCATTCATTTGGCAATTAAATTAATTCATAAAGGGGACTAATGCGTTGAATTTATATTTCATAAGGGGTTGGTGCATTAAACCTCAATTTCATCTGTATGTGTACATTCGTAAGTTTGACCCAATCATGTGAATGGAAACATGAGAAAACATACTATGTAAATGATAAACAAATGACAAGTGCATTAGATGACAGATGGGATGAGAAATGGATGAATATACATCCAACTGCCAACACAGTAACACATCGGATGTGTTTGGTAAATGACAATTCAACAAAAAAAATGACGCTTTGATACTTTTGTTGTTTTCAATAAGTGAAAGCGTTGTTTGGTAAATAGCAGTTTGGCACTAGGCATTTGTGGACGGAATCGTTGAAATGAAAACGCTGCAAATGAGTGAGTTTTGGGTTAGCGTTTTGAAATATGGCGTTTTTTTTTAATGAATTTTAAGGCAACACAGCTAAATTATCAAACATTTTCTGACGACCCGCCAACGTATTCCGCTAGTCAAACCTGTTGATTGGATTCACTACTGACGACTTGCTAACATTATCCGTTATCCGCTAAATACCAAGCACGCCCATCAACCAATTCATCATCCGCTTCACCCATCCACCTCTGTGTGTAACTTCTTAATATGCTTAATATGGAATCGTGTGTTAAAGCTCCAACAACCAACTCAATCGTAATAAAGCTCAGCGATGAGCATACCAACTTCAAAATTGATATCACAAGCCACCATGTTGTGAAACATGTCAAGTCATCTCACATTAACCAAGTACAAAGATACAAACGTATGGCTAAAATTTATGTTACTAGACTTGCTACTCTAATGAAGTTGGCCTAAATGGTGGCGCCTCTGTTCTGAAGACAGGATCCAAGACAATCCTATCTTTATGCTTTCTTACCCGTATGATTTAATTATTCAATAAAAACTACAGGAATAGGAATTTTTAAAGCATTTCAAACTATGTTATATTAAATATTTTATGTTGTTGGACAATGATAAAATACTTTGCACACTCTTTATAAAGAACTACAATCACTTTGCCGGCAATTTAAAAATAAACAATACCTAACTAAACAATATATTTTTATTTTACATGCAAAGTAACTATTTCCCTATACTTTGTGTGCTATCATTTAACATGCAAACAACCAAACGAGTCGTGAATGTTTGTAATGGATGGATGAAGCTCAAGAGAAATTGCAGTTCAATGTTCAAATACTCATAGACCAAAAAAGTTCAAAACATCTAAAAAAATACCTTCCTATTTAATAGCTCCACACAATGACACAAAGCATCTATCCATTTCCCAATATCTCTTCATGGTAGCGACCACAACTTTCGAGCTTCAAATCTCATCAAACGTCACCCTACAAAGTGTATCTTGGTAGCTGATTTCTTTACCCCCGCCGCCCCCCGGCCGCCCCAATGCAAACACACAATGCTATTAACAAACCTAGATCAATCACTGCCCCTAGCAGTCACTATCCAAGTTCCTTTCTAATACGGCTCTACACCCTATAGGAGCTATACCTAATGGTGTCTATGTGATGTATGTTGTGAAAATCTGACACAACCAGCGGTCAGTACCTCATCAAGTGTTTAAGTTTCTTAAGCACTTAATTTTAATCCATTTTCTGAAGAAAAAATTCACATTAATAATCCTAACTATTAACAGTCTTCTAATATTAATCCCAAATATAAGTTATTCTAAAATAATCGTAAATTAATAAGGCATCTTCTCAAGTTGATCCGGATGACCTAGAACTTATTCAACCGGTAAAATAAAATGAAAAGAGGGAACTCCATCAACTCATTTTGTCCAGCTCCTTCACCGGTTATTCATCGATCCTCACAGTCCCTCCGCATAGCCACATTTCCCCTTTTTTCATTGCATTTCTTTTCTTATTTTCCTCTACTAGATATGGAGATCTCCTTTGGAGCTTTCCCCTCTTTGTGGGTGTCGACGGACGACGGTCGCCAACTAGAGACCATGGCAAAGCATATGGTGGATAAGTGGATTGAAGTCATTGAACATTACTCCGGTTGTCTTCTTCATCGATTCTCCGACCAACACGGCGACACCCGGTGAAAAATGCTTGGTTTCGGGAATGCTTCTCTATCGTTCCTGCAACAATTTTTTCTCTATTTTATTTGCATTTCTTCCCTATTTTCATTCTCACTTTTCCTCCCTTCTTTCCTCTTCTTTCTGGTATTCTATTTCATTTTGTCTCCAGATGCAGTTGACAGGTTAGGAGAGGAACTACAGAGCCTAAATGAAAGGATGGGGATAAAATTAGTTGCATAAACTTTTTGGATCTAGATTGAACGATTTGTTGTCTTCTATGGTTCTATCTCAACCAGCTGCAAAACAACCATATATTGACTTCTTTTTTATGGTTCTCTCATTATCTCCATGTTCTTTTTCATCTGCTTTTGGAGATGGATAGGGAGGGCAGCGGCAGAATCCTACCATGAATTCAATAGACGTGGAATGGCAGAAGAGGGAAACATATGAAAGAAAAAGAAATTAAGAAAGAAAATGAAAAGGAAAAAAAATTTAGAACCAATAAAAACAGACCACGTGTTCCAGTTACCTGGTGAATAGGTTTAATCACGTCATCGGTTTGTGTTGAGAAGATAGTCCTTATAGATTAGATTATACTGGAATAACTAATATTTGAGATTAATATCGGAAGACTGCTAATAGTTCATATAATTCATGTGAATTTTTCCATTTCTGAAATGTGAACATAATATATAGGCATTAAACATACATGCTGTTCTGTGGGAGTGTATCTTCGATTCAAAACATCTTCAAGTAAAAAAGGCCTCTAGTATTGCATCGTGCGGATTACAAGGAGCAAAGCAGTGTCAGAAACTTCCATATCTATGACAAGCAGATATTAACATATACAAGGAGCAAAGCTAGTGAAAACCAAGGTACCACTCTCCAACTTCTGAAGTCCAAAGATTTCATACAAGGTGTTGTTATATCAATTCAAACCTAATAAAATCTAATGCTCTAAAGATTTCAAAACTGTTTTCTCTTGTTCCGAAACAAGTTTTCCCTCTTTGCAAAGATATAGAGAAGACCAATTAAAACACCAGCAGACATTGAAACTGACATCCATGGGAACGGTGGATCCTTGAAGCAGACAAGTGATGCCTCCAAATCTTGAGAAGCTTGATAAATAAGAGAGTGAACAGCATACAGATCATGATCTGATGACCTTAGGTAATACAATGCCATCTCATAATCAAAATGTGACAAAGCAGAAACTGCCTTATCGAGTTTGTACTTGAACATATTCCACCTCTGGATGAACTCAGGAAGCTGATTATGCTTGAGGAGTTTTCTCTCCCCACCATGTGCAGTAATGGACTCAATCACATCAATAGCACTAGTGAGACTAAAGTTCAATGAAGTCAAGAGAACATTCCTTCTAGCAGCATCCTTCTGTACAAAAGACAGTGATGAAATTTCTGAAAATGGACCAAAGGGTGTATTTCCCACACTCCATGTATAATCTACAAGAGTAGTGTTGTGCTTGGGGCTCCAAAGCAAATGTGTAGGTGAGACTCCCCACATGCTCTGTAAAATGGAACCCACAAGAGGCCTCTCCAGTTCGCGAGTCTGGGTAAAAACATGACGCCCATTACAAGTATAATCACTGACTGCCTGGGAACTCTTGGTCCTGACAGCAATAACCATGTCTTTAAAGGCAACAGTCTGATGATAACGGTCGAGCAGCAAAATCATATTGACATCCAAATCAAAAACATAGACCGGAAGAACCCTCCCAAAGTCTTCCTCTTCAGGAAGCTTTGCCAGCCGCCTAAACTCTCCCGCGGATTCTGACAAAGTCCGGTGTAAGTGTTTCGAGTCCAGGTACTCACTAACAATCAGTGTGTAGTTGTCAAATAAATATCGGGAAGTGTAAGAAGTAGTTGCCCTAGAAATGGCAAAGGAGCATATGGCACACTCAGCTAAATTCACCTCATACTTCTTAAAGCTTAAAGATTGATCGCCTAACAATAATCCCTTACCATACACTTCATCCATGAAGGTCTTCTCTATTGATTTCCAATCTAGTCCACTGCTGTCTTTGTTATCAGGAGAACCATTTATATGTATGAACTCAACTATCAATGAGTATTCTAAAGGGACAGGGATTCTCAATGAAGGGACAAGAAGTACCTGGTAAGCACTCCAAACCAATGAAGCCAAATCAGAGAGAATAGTCTTTTGAGACTTGGGGCGGCCGTGAATAGATGCCAACGGATGAAACTCGCCTCTCGGCATAAGTCCATCACCCGAAAGCGCTGGACCGTACTCCACCGGACCAGCCCCTAAATCGATCCAGATGTACCGGTCTTCCCCTGTCCAAATAGTGCCTAAGCACTTGGTAATGGCGGGAGACGGATCTCCATGAGTGTAGCTATACGCGTAAGGCTTCGACTGGGTGCCCAAATTGAGGATGTAGATGTAAATCCCGTTAATTGGCTTCTCATTTTCGAAATCCTCTTTGATAATTTGGTCAACGGTGGAGTAAGGAACGGAGGCGAGATGGGATCGGAAACTGGAAGCAGTGGAGGCGAGCTGGGATTTCAAGCTTTCTGAGAGACGGGAAGCGAGGGAAGCAGGGGCCAGAGTGACTTCCGGGTGGAGAGAATGGGAGACCGAGAGGTGATGAGTGGGGTGGGTGGTGAAAGGAGAGATGACATGGTAGTGGTCGAAGGAGACGGCGGAGAGGATGAAGGAGGAGAGGATGTCTGGAGCGGAAGAGGCGAAGTTACTCCCAACCAGCTTGACGGTGATTGGGACGGAAACTTGCAGAGAAAGGAGGGCGGCGATGGAGACCGACTGTTGAGCCGGGGTTTGGGAAAGAGTTTTTTTCAGATAGGAAGGCAGAGAGAGGAAGGAATCATTAGAGGCTTGCGGGTCAACCCGTGATTGTTGGGTGAGAAAGGAGTCCAGTCCTAGAATTGGGGCGGAGCTGGAGAGTGTCGCGACGGAGAGGAGACGGAGGAAGAGGAGGAAGGCGATGATCGGCAGCATTTCTGAGACTTCCGCCGAGCCGGTTGAGTTGTCGGAGTGACCGAGAAGAAATGGGTTTTCTTGTCTTACCGATGGCTCTCCCTTTCCAGAACCGCCAGACACTCCTTAAGCCCGTTTGGTTACATGACTCATAATAATTGTGGAATTCATTTTCCCAAAAAATAGGCCAAATTACCAATTGGTAAAAAAAGAGGGGCATTTGAGAGATTAGTAACAAAAAACCACTTGAGACATATTGGTTTTTGTAAAAAACAGAAATTTCCGACTTTAAACTTTTGATCATTTTTTGTGAGTGATAAACTTTTGATCTTTGACTTTAAATTTCTGACATTTCATTTTCTAAATATTGTAAAATTGACATTTTCAGTCTTTTTATTTTGATTTTGTTATCAAAAGTGAAGGTCTAAAAATGTCTGTTTGATAATAGTAGTTGTCTGCTATCTAATAACCAGTTGAATCAGCATTGATAACATCTGATTCCCTTAGCTTTTATAACTAACCGCTTTCTTTAGCATTTCAAATAAAATGTTAGTAACTTAACTATTTGCGATTAAATGTTAAGACGTAACATAACCATTAAAAATATGAATCAAAAGGTATATATATTTATCTTAACTTTATTTCTTGTATTTTTAATAAGACTTTGAAAAAGTTTTAAGAATTATATTTACATTTATTTTAAATAACCATGGAGTAAATCTAAGAAAAAATAATAAATAGTCATATGGAGTAGAATTTTAAATGGAGTAGATTTATATAAAAAATAAACAGTCAAATTTAAAATATTAAAATTAAAAATATATGAATTTATATGTGTGTGCCCTCATTATGTACATATCTTAAAAATAATAGTGTTAGTAATTATTTAAAATAAACGTTGTTGGGATATTGGGCCGAAGCCCGATACCCGGCCCAAAATAGCTAAGGGCCCAAGAAAAAAAGCAGGCCCAAAGGGAAATCAGATAGAGTTATAGGGTCCCGAACGGGAACTGAGCCATCAAGAGAGGCACCTGTTCGACATATCCGATCTCAAACGGCCCACATATCTAACTTGGGAGAAATAACGAAGCATCAACCTTGTTCAGCGGCCTGCACAATCCAGAGCCCGATCGGGGAGTCCACAAGTAGCAACTAGCATTTAATGCTAGTGTATGGCGGTGGCTAGTGGAAGCAGGGGTGCTCAAGTGGCAAGGCCAGCGGCCAACCGGGTTCGGCCACGTCATCACCCCACCTACCCCCTTTTTAGTATAAATAGGTGCATTAACTACATTGTAAAGGGTTAGCATTATGATACTCAGAGCCTTAGATAGAATCATCACTCTAGTTCTTGTATTGACTACTGTTCTGATTTACCGTTCGGGCTGTTTCAGTGTAATCAGTGAATTACTTAATACAAGTTGGCTTTCTAAATGCATCTTATTCAATCTTTTATATTTTATACACCTTTTAACCGAGACCAACGTCCCGTGTGTTGGGCTTTCGGATCTACGGGACTAAACCTCAACAAATGTAAACATAATTTTTAAAGCTTTTTCCAAGACTTATTAACAATAAAAAGAAATAAAATTAATATAAATATATAAACTTTTAAATTCATTTTTTAACTGTCATTTTACGTCAGAAAAGCTAATTGCAAATTTTAAATTACTAAAATTTTATTTGAAACCCCTAATGAAAGCGGTAAATTAAAAAAGCTAATGAAATCCGCTAATATCAATCTGTTGATTCAACCGGCTATGAGCTAGCAAACAACTACTATTATCAAACACGTTCGTTGACTTTTTTAGACCTCCACTTTTGATAACAAAATCAAAGTAAAAAGACTACAAATGTCAATTTCACAATACTTAGAATATGAAATGTCGGGAATCAAAAGTTCATCACTCACAAAAAATTGACCAATTTGTCACTAGTTTTTTTTACCAATATGTCTCAAATTGTTTTTTATATCAATCTGTCAATCAATTTTTTTTTACCAATTTGATAATTTGACCAAAATAAATGTTTAATTTTTGGTGGCATAAAAAAGTCCCACATTTTAGTCCAACATATCCAAGTAGTCTCCTCACCCTCTCCAATCTTCTTCCTATATCCTTATTTAACTGTATATTGTCCCCAGTATACCAATACTCATTGTTTATCTCACGACGACTAAGAGGAATACTCATATTAGCTGTGATGGAGTATATGGCCCAGGAACCCCCGGCCCATAGACTCCCACTTCTCCTACACAAGTCCGTTGGGCCCAGAGAACAACTCATGCCCAAATACGGCGGCCCAAGCCTCAAAAATAGCTCAGAATACACACTGGGGTGCCTTCGGCCTCCTTGGCCGAAGGCTCCAAAACTCGCAGGATAGCCTTCTGATATGCACTAATTAGTAGTGCATAAGTGTATGTTTTTATGTTTGATTTGTGTGTATTGTTTATCGTTTTATTTAGTTTGTGAACATTTGTGTGATTTTAGTTGTAATTGTATTTTAATCTTCATTTATAAGTTGTAAAGTAGATTTAGGATTTATGGTGTTGAAAAAGAGGACTTTGAAGTGAAGAAAAATAAGATTTGGCTGCCCAGAAGCAAAAAACCCGACCGGGTACAATACTTTACCCGGTCGGGTATGACAAAAAAATTGGAAACTGCTGAGAAAGTCACTTGACCCGGTCGGGTCACCTATTTGACCCGGTCGGGTCAGACTTGACCCGGGACACCAGAACGTGCCGAAGATCGCCAGAACGTGGAGAATATCTGATTTTGACCGGACCCGGTCGGGTAAGCACCTAACCCGGTCGGGTACCCGGCCCAAGGTGTTCAAAAACACCTATAAATAACCCCATTTTCCTTCACTTTTAATCATCCCTTCTTCCTTATACTTAAGCTCAGTTTAGAATAGCATTTCTTTATATTTCTTTTAGCATGTTTAGTCTCCAAATGAGGAGCTAAACTTCCATTTCTTGGTTTTGCTCTTGAAGCTTGATTGATTATTAAAGTTGTGAGTTATTTTCTTACTCTCTCTTCTTGATTATTAATTCTTCCCTTAATCTCATTCTACATCATTGTTGGAGGGTTGCTAAGTGACGATTAGTTAACGTTCCAACATTGATTATTACTAGAAACGATCAACGAACCGATGGTTAATCGTTGATAGTTTCATAAGTAAGTAACTTCGGTTTGTTAATGCACGGTCGTGGTTAATAAACTTAAGAGGGATTAATTTTGTTGGTTAAACCGAAACCGTTGCGTTGAGGTTATCAATCTCAATTGATTTCATCAAGGAGTTAAAGAGGTTAAATGCTACTATTATATCGGTATACGGCGTTGTTCTATATTCGATTAATAGTAAGGGTTATTAATGAACGGTCGTTGTTAATAACTACCCTCGATGAACTGGATATACTCCGCGATTGAGTATTCGAGAGGGGATAAGTTATGGAAATAACAATGATCGACTAAAATATATCAACAAGTGGAAAGTAGCAAGACCAAGTCCCTTTTATTCTTGAATTTAATCCCATATAACTCGTTCATCTTCGTGTTTAAATTAATTAAACCAAATCAGACAACCCCCCCCCCCCCTTTATTTACTATATTCATAAAAAGAAAGTTATTCCTTTCCCTGTGGATACGAACTCTACTTCACTATACTACGTATAAGTGTTGTATTAAATTTACTTTGAGTGCACTCACGACAAAGTGCACGTCACCTTCTCTGGCATAAGAAGTTACTGGGAGAAAACGGCGAAAAACATGAGCCTTCGGCACTATCAAGCCCTCGGCACCGGATAGGCCTTCGGTGGAACCAGGCCTTCGGCTACACAGGGGTCCTTGGCTACATGGAGCCCTCGGCTACATAAGGAGCCTTCGGCCAAACACGTTCAATCATCGAAGATTCCTTTTGGAGACAGCCAACCACCGCATTTAATGCCACGTCACATCCGCCAGCCGCATTCAATGCAGTAAACGTACCACTGCCGGTGCCAACCGGTTGATGTGACCCTTCGGCCGTTGGATTACTGACACGTGTCCTCTCATCGCATTTATTGCTGCTATAAATAGCAGCCCATTTCTCCTTGTAAATCATCATCGACATCTCATCTACACACGCTGAGTTCATTTAATAAAATCGACTCTCTCTCCTCCTATTTGCTCTGACTTCTCTCTAAGTTATTCCCACAATAACCCCTCGGATAAGATACCCCCCGGGTAGGTTGTCCATCATTTGGTGCTCTCGTTGAGAGGTCTGAACTATCAAGTAAGAAACCCTCCTCCTCTACCAAATACATAACACTTACCGAAAAATGGGAAGAACCACTCGTGCCCAATCCAAGACCCTAGAGGAGAACCATGTAGCTCCCGGCGAAACCAACGGGGCTGAGGCCTCCAACAGGCTCTTGGTGCCCGAGGGTGGCATCATCCTTGAATTGGAACAGGCCACCGCTGACCTCCGTCAGCAGCTACAGAAGAACGCCCCTGATGCCCGCATTGGCCTTGATAATCGAAGGAGGGATCGGAGTGAGAACCAATTTCCCCTCCGGCCCCGGCCATCGATCTTCAGGCTGCCTTTGCGGCCTTTGTTCAGAACATGGCTCTCAATTCCGGAGCCCTCGCCTCTCAGGCACCCCTTCAGCCCTATGCTGGAGGGAATGTTATCAACCTACCACCACTCCTTCCTTTGTTCAACAACCCTCCCCCGGGGGTTGGCAACCGCGAGGGGGTCATAGCACAGGATACCGCCTCCCAGGAGGCCCAATCCAGGGACAAGCGCCCCATGATGAGGGAGAAACCCCGAACCTCTGCACTTGAGAGGCTTGGGGGAGCTCCCGGACGCCGATGGGTCCAAGACCGCCTCGGCAAATAGGAAACCAGCAGGCCCCAGGAGAGTGGAGCCTCCGCTTCGGGGGCCGAGGGCATGCCTCCACCCCGGAGCAAAGGCAAAGCTCTTCTCCATGCTGATGATGCCAGGCACCAAATCACACAGGCGCAATCCTTCCGGGCCAACTCCCAAGGGGTTGCCCCGAAGGATCCCAAGGACGAAATCATTGAAGCCCTCCTCCGTCAACTCGAGGAGAATCGTCAGGCACCCTCGACAGCTTCCACAGCGAGGCCAGATCCAGAGTACGCCGACCT